AGGAACGACGTGATATTTAACTTCTGATCGTCCGAGGTGAAAAATGTAGATGCAATAAAGGAGAGGAAGAAGGGTGAAAGTCCAAAGAATGCCGTCGATGCACCCGTACTCATTCCTGGAGGTATCTTCAGAAAACCAGAATTCTCTTTGGGTCCTGAGACATACCGGTATGGCCCGGAAAGGCTTGTGATGCCGAGAACATGATTGTAAACAACCTGTTGAATTACCTTTAGTAACTTCCCTATCTATTGTTCGTAAATAATAACTCACGATGCAGCTGTGCCGACACCACACATAAAATAGCATGCAACGAGCGCCTTGAACGGAGGACCCGCAGCCATCTTGCTATGACCGATCGAATATGCAAAAGCCCCAAATCCAGAAGAAAAGAGCACGCCTCCGATGGCGGCCGTTAACCACGTTCCATACGTGTCTAAAAGAGAGCCCACAACCGCAGCGAGAGGGTACTGTGCAGACATTCCTCTATTCCATTCGAGTAATAGATAGAGAAATGGGGTAAAATATGCATGATTAGCTTATAGAGGATATATGTCGCATCGAAAAGGGCACTCACGCCAGAGCAATGGTAGAAAGTTGCGGTTGGGTGAGGGAAAGGCGCTCGACAAGTGTAGGAGCATAGAGTGGAAAGCAGAATATACCCCCTGCAGTCAACCTATATCGTAGAATCAGTCACTACGGCGCCTCTTGTTGTGGCCAAAGAGTTTGTTACGAACGCTGCGCCAGCAAGCACCAAGCCAGTCGATACGGCTCGAGTGATATTCATATGCTTCTTCCTTTCAGCAGCCTCATCGACGGCATTGGTGTTGATTCCAAGTTCAGCCATATTTGGCTGGTCAGGTCCAAGTTGACGCCGTAGTGGTCCCCACATCGTGCCGAATTCAATACGCACAGCGTATCGTGTCAAGTCTTTCTAAATATTCTAATAAAATCTAAACAAAGTATCTTTGGAAGAAATTTCTTGAGCTTGAGTTAGGTCTTATGGAAAGGCTTGTTCTGTCGTTCATATGTTGCTGTCAACAAACATTGCGGTTTCCCGTGCTCTCCTACATATGAATCAAGTGCTATGTCTTAGTCTAGGAGTTTAAATTGATTGATACAGATCAAACTTATAGGTAGGCGCAGGCTACCGAACCACTGGTGTATCCCCTCGAAAGTCCCAAGTTCTTCAACAGTTCGAATCAACCTTTTCTTACGTCAGACCCGAAATGTCATTGTGGTGAGATCAAATTGAATCAATATAGAACGACTATCCACATCCCGTCATGAAAAAAAAAGGTTGGAGAAGGAG